CAGTGTTTGGCCCGGTACCCGTATTCAGCCCAGGGCCTGCTTCACATTCATTCACACAGGCGGCCCAGGGCCTGGGTTCACTCAACCAACTGGCGTTGCGCAACTGCCTGAATTTTCCTGAGTTGCGTGGTGGCCAGAAAAAAGGCCCTGAGGGCCTCGTCGAGCCTGCCTTCACTTAGGGCGGCCGGCGGGCTGCAAAATTGGGGCCTTATGAGGCCCTTAGAGGCAGTGGCCTCGCATTCCCTCCTCCTCAGCTTCAACAGTCCTCTGAGAAGCTCAATCTTCGATCATAGGGCGCTTTCCCTTCTGCAGAGATCTCTCATATTGAGTTACAACTTGAGGAGCGGTCTGCATGAGATCTTCCCTAGTGAACCAGCGGTCCTCCTTCGGATCAGTGTGATGCCAGAACTGAACGCGGTATTGCAGCTTCGGTTTCGGAGGACGTCCCCTGTCTGCTGGTCTTGATACCGGCAGCTCGCCGTGATCCACAATATCATCAATGTCCACTTCTCCGTCCATGGTTGGGGGCAACATTGAGCGACGAGATGGAAACTGGTCAGTCTCTTTGAAAGGTGCCAGCTTGGAGGAGTGAAAGACAGGGTAAGTACGGAGATGACCGGGAATCCGGATAACGTAAGATGGCCCATCCGAATCTGTCCCGACGATGTCCAAGACCTCCCAAGGCCCAAAGTACTGAGGCATGAGTTTGCGGGAGATCCCGTACTCTTGTCCCAGTTCAGAAGACTTAAACTAGACCCTATCCCCAACCTGAAATGTAGAAGGCCGACGGTGTCGGTTTTCGGACTCTATCATTGCTGCCTGTGCCTTCTGCATCTGTTCTACCGCCTGCTGCATTTTCTGTTCATATCTGTAGGCAAACTCTAAAGTACCCGGTGCAGCAGTTGATTCATTCTCAGGAAGGAGAAAGTCAGTCTAGGCTTGAAAGTCAGTAATAAACTGTTCGGGCTTACCCCAGCGGCACTGTGTACCGCATTGTTATACAGACTGGCGATGAGAGCAAGCTTCTCATCCCAGTCCACCTGGTTGGGCTTGATGTAATGCCTCAACAGGTGTTGTACAACGCGGTTCAGTTGCTCGGCCTAGCCGTTGGCCTCTGGGTGATTCCCAGAAGTCATTTGCAATTGAGTGCCCTGCTCTGCAGCAGCGGCCTTCCACAACTCGCTGGTAAACCTGACATCCCTGTCACTGACAATAGACTTGGGTAAACCAAAGTCTCTAGCCCAGTTTTCTTTGAACATTCAGATCACGTACTCCGTCTTTGCTGTTTCCGACATGGCTACTAACCTAGCATACTTACTAAATCTATCCACGATGACGAAGTTGTGACGCATCCCACTCTTGCTGGTGATCAGAGTATCCATGAAATCCATGGACAGACTCTCACCAGGCCGTTCCAGAATTGGAAGGGGCTTTAGAAGCTCAAGAGGAGCCTGAGTACGTGGCTTGTCCCGTTGACAAACTTGACAAGTCTCCATGTACAGCTGGGCATCTCGCATCATCGTGGGCCACCAGAACCGCTGCAGCAAGTTGGCTGCGGTCTTCTTATACCCAAAATGGCCGGCGACATCATGACACTCGCCTAAAAATAAACTACGCAAAGACTCGCTACTTGGGACACACAATCGTTTATTCCCGTCCTTCTCAAGGAACAGCAAGCCATTGACCAACTCAAACTCAGCAGAGGTCTTCTTGTCCTTTGCCTAGAGTCTGCGTATAATCTCAGACATGAACTGATCCTCGTGATAGGCTTCAACCCTTCCGCAGAGATCTCATGACCCAAGTACACGACACAGGTGCGGCCAAACTCGCACTTCTCACCGTTGATCTTGAACTTGTGTTGTCACAGGAGGCTGAGGACTTTGTCCAGATGTGCAACGTGCTCCTCGACAGTCTTACTAAAAATAAGTATGTCATCGAGGTACACGACGACAAACTTATCTAAGTAGTCATGGAATATCTGATTCATAGCGTGCTGAAAGGTGCCAGGAGCATTGCAAAGACCAAAAGGCATCACCACAAACTCGTACAGACCGTACTTGGTCTGGAAAGCGGTTTTGTGCTGATCATCGGGCCGGATTGCAATCTGATGGTACCCGGACTTCAGATCTATCTTACTGAAGTACCGACACCCTTGCACTCTATCTAACAGATCGACGATGCGCGGTAGGGGCTCTTTGTTCTTTACAGTGATGGCATTGAGGCCCCTATAGTCAATGCACATCCTCAGAGTACCCTCCTTCTTCTTAGGCACAAATAGAACTGGAGACCCATAAGGAGAGACACTTGGCCGGATCCAACCCTTCTCTACGAGTTCCTTGAGTTGGCGGCGAAGCTCATCAAGCTCACTTGGAGACATCCGATAGATCCTACCCTTCGGAATACTAGACCCTGGGATAATCTCTATCGTGTGGACGACCTCCCTCTCAACAACCCCTGTTGGCTCTTCTAATAGATCAGGGTACTTAGCAACTACTCCCTCTATCTCCGGCGGCATTTTCACCGGCTCGCCTGCAGCATAGACATAGACTAAATACATACCCTCCTCCTGATTTTGCTTATAATAATTGTAGAATGTGGCCGCACACATGCACCCGTAGGACTCAATCAGACTACTAGCTTTGAACTTACGTAATCTGGCGGTCCCTCCACCTAGCAAAGTGTGTTTGACCACTTTTCGGTCCCAGTCAAACTGGGGCTGTGCTACAGAGAGGTAGTACATACCTAGTAACATGTCCATTGGGAGCTCGTCACTCACTAGGAACGAGACACGATGTCTCAAGTCCCCTCCCGCGTACGGGAAACAACACTCAACATCCCGGAGGTAGTCGTTGACTACCATGCGCTGTTTGTTGGCACAGGTCGACTGCACAGGTCGACTCAACCGCTGCACTCGCCCCTATAAACGCAGCCTCTCAACGCCCGCGCGACTAATAAAGTTCCGAGTCGAGCAAGTGTCATAATATGCCCCGGCCTTGCGGCCGCCAATGACAACCTCGCTGACGAACATCTCACCCTTCGGTGCTTTGACTAGTGCCGTCCAAGAAGCTAGCGGGTCTGATCTAGACCACTCTACCTCTAGCTCCTCTAAGGACTCAAACACATTCATCGAACAGAGGCTCGATGTGTCTGAATGTGTTTGCAGGACGACGCTGGAGTCAGTAGCTTGGGCCATCTCTCGAGATGGTGAGGGTGTCTCCACCATCTTGACCCTAGCGGGAACAACTACTATTCCTACTGGCCCGACTTGTTTCCCGGAGCACTGCCTGAAGTACTGGCAACATTGCTACCAACAAGATGAGAGGATCCCAGCACCTGCCCCATCGTAGGCGGGATCTTTTCGGTTACCTTCTTGTTGCGGTACTTATATTGACTATGGCCATATTGGCCACATCTAATACAGGTCTGCCGTGAGTACTGATCTCTCCACACGTCCTCTGTGAGACCCGCTTTCTCCCATGGAGGAGCGTTGGGGTCGACTTGACTCCTAGACCGGGAGCCTCCGCGGCGTCTACCGGGAGCCTTACCTTTCAGAGCAACGGCAGTGACTACTCCACCCTCTGAAGTTTCTACGCTGCCCGCCTCTGAACCTACTCCCGCCTGGAAGTGTTCATCTACTTCGATGGTGGAACCATCATTATCGACGAACATCAAGCGACCCTTCGCCTTCCAGTTGGGAGGCAGTGTCTTCTTTCTCCCATCCGTTGTGGGTGCCTGTCCATGCCCTATCTTGGCTTCAAGGTCTAGGGCGGCCTTGTTGAACGAAGGGAAGTTGTGCATATTGATGTTGGCCTCTTTCGCCAACTGGTTCCTGAGAGGTTGAGAAAAGTATCTCAAGTACGAAGTCAGCAGGACCTGGGGATCATAGCGCACCCCTGGGACACAGATCACACGCTCAACAGCGTCGGTGGCTTCCCTTACTGACTTAAACTCCCTCGTGTGCAGTGTAAGGATCGCATCAGTGGCCCTTTGGGCCTCCTGAGGATCATGCCACCTTTCCTCCACCATCTTCAGGAAGTCCTCCAATTTTTGGGAGGCCGCCCAAACGTGGAAGTCATGACCATACCCCTGGAGTTGTACTAAACCACTCAACCATCTTGCTGCACTACCCTCTAGGTAGGAGGCAGCCACAAACACTTCTTCATGCGGCAAGGTAAGTTTGCACCTGACATAGACCGGCACTGCCCTCAACCATGTGTCGAGGTCTTCGCCCCTCTTATCCCCTGTGAAAGGTTTGGGAGCGGGGATGGCCGTCTTTGGGACCCACTGTGTCGGTCCCGGTCCCTGCATCACCACGGGCTGTGGACCCTGTGACACAGGTTGCTGTGCCAACTGCTGGGGTTGTGTGCCTTGCGGCTGCACAGGCTGCGTGACAGCAAGCTGCGTGGTGACTACAACCTGCAACGGAGTTTGGGTGTACACTGTCTGAACAGGAACCTGCAAACTAGTTCCTGCTGCTACCCCTCCTGACAGCGGCATGCCCAGGGAAATTATCGCAACCGATGATGGAGCTACATATGGGGATACCCCAGTCACCGGTGGGACAAAAGGAGGAGGATGTGCAACGGGCCAGGCACCAGGCCCGAACATTGGCGACGTGGTCTGCGTTCGCCCAACCAACAAGGCCAGACTTTGCTGGATATCCTGGAGGATGGTTGTCTGATGGTCCTGCATCTCTACTACATTCAGCAGGACCGACCGTACAAGTCTCACATCTTCAGGCACATTCGTCAGATCCATTTCTTCTAACTCACTAACGTCCTTTTGTCTGCGTTGCATCCTGGCGCTTCTTCTGATCATCTTTTCTTTCTCCGCTTTTATCTTTCCTAAAGCATTTTGTAGTTGTGCCTCCTGGAGGACTGCCTCCTGTATGGCGATCTCATCAGGGGTCAACACCAATGGCTGGCTCGCCATTACGCCAGTGGATTGTACCACGGTCTGCGCGACCGTTGACCCGACAAACCCTGAACTACCGGCTTGAGAAGTCTGCATTGCTGAGGTGGAGATGGATTCCGAAGCTGCGGACTCACTCACGAGTGACCTGCTAGCCTCTGCTGCTCTAGCCATCCTCTGCTGCTGCTGCCTCTCCCAAAGCCGGTGGAACGGAATCCTATCACCCTCCGGTCCTAAAGACAAGTGGGCTATCGGGCCTCTAGCTGATCGCAAGATCCTCCGGTCGTCCTCCCCGGTGTCCTCCTCGTCGCTCATAAGCTACAAACCTGTACATGATCTGAACTAATGCACTCTAGGTGCCTACCGCAGCGTGGTGCATAGACCAACTAAACAATTGGTTGCTATTTTGGAATAGATATCAATTGAGGTAAACAGGTAAGTCAGGTTCCTACAACTGAAGCTATTCTTAGTCTGACTAGTCCGCAAACAGAAGCACCAGGAACAATAAACAGTTCTAACTAATGTTGTCTGTCAGATGTCAATGGCAATACATCTAACTAATCAAAAACATAAAAATAACATCAGTTGTGTGGATAGGATAGCATGGCATTTTTTCGAACTTATCACCTGGAATCATCCCCTCCCTTAGTTCCCCTGAGTATCTCTTGACCTCAGCGTCCCTGGAGGCGTAGCGTGTCTAAAGGTGTGTGTGTCCGGCCCACCCCTGTGCCCCGAGTATCCACTGAGCTGGCCAGCCTTGCACATATATTTATCCTCGGCGTGCCGCGAACCTTCCAACCATTGGCTGATCCAGGGGCAATTTGGCGTCCGCCCCCAAGTGACTCCAGGAATTATTTTACATCGCAGTTAGACGATGATCACAACCAATGGTTCCCCTTCCCGTGTTTATTTATAGACGCCGGGTGCTCGTCTTTCCTATAGGGCTGGCCTGCCCAGTAGCACCCATCTAACAGCGCAGCAAGCCGAACAAAGGACAAGCAGCAAGGCATGCGTGTTCTACTCCTTGTGGGTTGGCATGGTGACCATGACCTAGTGCTTCGTCCAGGGCCCTTCAGAAAGCTCCGCCCATCTCCACCCAGATGCTCCACGTGAACATTGCCGACTCTCAAGGTTGAGCACACTCGACACCTCACGATGAGAGGACTCTCAAGAAGGAACACACAACCTCACGGTAAGAAGTGTCGGAGAGGGAAGATAAGGTTAAGAGCAACGTACCTCATTTAGCTGCCCCCAACCACATAGATAATCTCACCAGATGACCAAATGGTGATTGCGATGACCAGTCACTGCATCGGCACAACCAGCATTATCTCGCCGTTCCACCTCAGCATCAATCGCACATTCTCATCACATTGTCCAGACCACAATAACCCCACGTAGCCTTCCTGGCGATCCCCTCACCTCCTGGGTCGCCTAAAACACTCGTCTCCACCCTCCTCACTACACACCACTTACGGCCAAACTCGCCCAGCAGACCGCATGTATGTACCGCGTAAGGCAGAAGACAAGCGCCAGATGAGCGCAATCGTACCACAACTCCGATACCAAATTGCAAGGAAGATGAGCAATACCGAACTTCAACAATCAAACAGCATCATACATATGAGTCCAGATAGTCTTGACCTTGAACCAACAGCAGAATTGCATCACGAGATTCACCAAATAAGAACACACCAAGAGTTCATAATTGACAATGCTGAAATAGTCCCATCATCATCAACGAAGAACCAGAGT